ATATATATATATATATATATATAGACAGGTTGTTTCCATGTCTTGGCTATTGTAAATAATGCTGTGATGAACATGGGGTCATAAATTTTTTCGAGTTGCTGTTTTTTGTTTCCTTCCAATAAATTCTCAGAAGTGCAATTGTGAGATTATATGGTAGTTCTGTTTTTAACTTTTGAGGAACCTCCATACTGTATACCATAATGGCTGTAACAATTTACATTCCCACCCACAGTGTACAAGGGTTCCTTTTTCTCCACATTCTCACCAACACTTGTTATTTCTTGTCTTTTTGATGACAGCCATTCTATAGGTAATATTAATAAGGTAATAACTCACTGTGGTTTTGATTTGTATTTCCCTGACTAGTGACGTTGAGCACTGTTTTGTGTACCTTATTGGCCATCTGTACATTCTTTGGAAAATTGTGTATTCAGATCTTTTGCCCATTTCTTAATCATTGTATTTTTGCTATTGAGTTGTATGAGTTCTTTACATATTTTGAATATTATCCCCTTATCATATATGTGATTTGCAAATATTTTTCTCAAATTCAATAGGTTGTCTTTAATTCTGTTGATGGTTTCCTTTGCTGTGCACAAACTTTTTAGTTTGATCTAGTCCCACTTGATTATTTTTGCTTTTGGTGTCAAATCCAAATAGATCATCACGAAGACCAATGTCACAGAGCTTACCACCTTCGTGTTCTTCTAGGAATTTTTCATCCATTTTGAGTTGATTTTTTGTGTATGGTGTTAGACAGTGCTCGTTTTCCTAAGACCATTTATTGAAGAAATTATCCTTTCCCCATTGTGAATTCTTGGCTCTTCCGTTGTAGCACATATGCACGGGTTTAGTTCTGGGCTCTCTTGTTCTGTTTCCATTTATCTATGTGTCTGTTTTTATGCCAATACCATACTGTTTTGATTACTATAGCTGCATAATATAGTTTGAAATTAGGGAGCATGGTGATTCCAGCTTTTTGCTCTTCTTTCTCAAGATTGCTTTGGCCTTTTTTTGTTCTTCACTTCCTTTTCTAGTTCTTTTTCTTGTTTCTTAACATAGGATTATAATGATACAAACTTCCCTCTTAATAAATGCTTTTGCTGCATCCCAAGAGTTTTGGTATGTCATACTGTCATAATCATTTGTCTCTATGTATCTTCTGATCTCTCATTTTATTTCTCCTTTTCCCCAGTCATACTTTAATCGCCACATATTTGTGGTTTTTCCAGCTTTTGTTTTGCAACTGATTTTCTATTTCAAAGCACTGTGGGGGCGACCAGTTAGCTCAGGTAGTTAGAGTGCAGGCTCTTAACACCAAGGTTGCCAGTTCAATTCCCACATGGGCCACTGAGCTGCACCCTCCACAACTAGATTGAGAACAACGACTTGACTTGGAGCTGATGGGTCCTGGAAAAACACAATGTTTCCCAATAAAGTTTAAAAAAAAACAAAAAACAAAAAACATTGTGGTTGGAGAGTATGCTTGGTATAATTTCAATCTTCTTAAATTTCCTGAGGATAGTTTTACGTCCCAACATATAGTCTATCCTTGAGAATGTTCCATGTGTACTAGAGAAGAATGTGTAATCTGGTGTTCAGGGATGAAAGGTTTTGTAAATGCCAATTATGTCCATTTGGTCTAATGTGTCATTTAGAGCCAATATTTCCTTATTAATTTTCTGTTTGATCTACCCATAGCTGTCCATGGGGCCCCTGCTATAATTGTGTTTTTATCAGTTTCTTTAATTCTGTTAGTAGTTGCTTTATATATTTTGGCACTCTCTGATTGTGTGCGTATACTATATTGATAAGTGTTATGTCTTCCTGATATATCATCTATAGTGTTTATCATTATTAAGTGGCTATCTTTGTCTCGCTACTTTTTCTTGAAATCTATTTCGTCAGATATAAGTATGACTTACACCCGCTTTTCTCTGGACACCATTTGCTTAGAGTATCATTTTGCACCCTTTCACTTTGAGTTTATATTTGTCCTTGCAGTTGAGATGTATCTCTCGAAGGCAGCATATGGTTGGGTTTTGCTTTTTGATCCAATCCACTACTCTGTACCATTTTATTGATGAGTTCAGTCCATTTACATTTAGGGTGATTACTGATGTAGAAAGATCTCCTATAGCCATTTTTTTCTTTTGTTTTTTGGCAAAGATAACACACACACAGAAAAACTACAGACCAATATTTCTGATGAATAGAGATGCAAAAATCCTACACAAAATACTAGCAAATCTAATAAAACAATACATTAAAAAGATAATACATTACGATCAAGTAGGGTTAATTTCAGGAGTGCAAGGATGGTTCGACACACACAAATAGATTAATATGATACACCACATTAACAAAATAAAGGATAAAAATCATATGACTATATCAGTAGATGCAGAAAAAAAATCTGAGAAGATACAACATCCATTTATGATTAAAACACTCAATAAAATAGGTATAAAAGGAAAGTACCTCAACATAAAAAAGCCGTATGACAAACCCTCAGATAATATCATATTCAATGGTGAAATATTGAAAGCTCTTACTCTAAGATAAGGATGCCCACTCCAACCACTGTTATTCAACACAGTACTGGAAGTCCCAGCCAGAGCAACAAGGCAAGAGAAAGAAATAAAAGGCATCCAAATTAGGAATGAAGAAGTCAAACTGTCACTTTTTTCAGATGACATGATTCTTTATACAGAAAACCCTGAAGACTCCACCAAAAAAACTATTAGAAACAATGAACAAATACAGTAAAGTTGCAGGATATAAAATCAATGTACAAAAATCCAATGCTTTCCTATATACTAACAATAAAATTTCAGAAAAATTGAAAAAACACAATTCCTTTGGCAAAAAGAATAAAATACTTAGGAATAAACTTTTTTTTTTTTTTTAAGATTTTATTGGGGAATTGGGGAAGGGGAACAGCCAAGTTGTTGTCCTTCAATCTTAGTTGTGGAGGGCGCAGCTAGCTCAGCTCCAAGTCCAGTTGCCATCTGGCTGCCAGTCGGCAGGTCATGGCAGCTCAGCTCAAGTGCCATGTTCAATCTTAGTTTGGGGGGTGGGGGTGCAACCCCCCCATCCCACGCAGAAGTCAAACCGGCAACCTTGTTGTTAGGAGCACATGCTCTCATCAGCTGAGCCATGCTGCCACCTGTTGGCAGCTCAGAGGAAGTTCAGCTTGGGCGCAGCTCACTGGCTCATGTGGGAATCGAACCAGCGACCCTGTTGCTCAGAGCTCACGCTCTTAACCAACTGAGCCACTCCGACAGCTCCACTTAGGAATAAACTTAAAGAATGAGAAGAACCTATACACTGAAAACTACAAGACGTTATTAAAAAAAACTGAAAAAGACAGAAAAAAATGGAAAGATATTCCATGTTCATGACTGGAAGAATCAATATAGTTAAAATGCCCATGTTACCCAAAGCAATACAGATTTAATGCAATCTTCATCAAAATCCCAATGGCATTTTAAAAAGAAATAGAACAAAAACTCATCAGATTTGTACAGACCACAAAAGACCCCAAATAGCCAAAGCAGGCCTGAGAGGAAAGAACAAAGCTGGGGGTATCACACTCCCTGACTTCAAATTATACTACAAAGCAACAATAATCAAATCAGCATGGTATTCGCAGAAAAACAGACACACAGAGCCATGGAACAGAATCGAAAGCCCAGGAATAAATCCACTGCATATGGGCAAATAATTTTCAACACAGGAACCAAAAACATACAATGGAGAAAAGAAAGCCTCTTCAGTAAATGGTGCTAGGATAACTGGAAAGCCAAGTGCAAAAGAATAAAACTAGGGCCGGCCGAGTGGCACAATGGTTAAGAGCTGGCTTGGGATGCCAGAGGGCCCCGGTTCGGATCCCACATATGAGGGCCAGTGACACTGCCCTCTACAGCTAAGATGCTGAACAACAGCTCAACTTGGAGCTGGGCTGTCGTGAGTCGCTGGTGTAGGCTGCAGCCCGTGGCAGTGGGTTGCCATGGGCTACCGTGTGTAGCCAGCAGCCAGCGTGAGCGGCCAGCAGCCGCAGTGAGCGGCCGTCCAGAAGCCGGCGACTGATCTGCCTTGCCCGGGAAGAGCAATGATGGTGCCAACTAGGGCCAGTGAAGCAAAGTCCTCCACAACTAGACTGAAGAACAAAGCGACAGCAACTTTTCTGTTCCCCTTCCCCCAATTCCCCAGTGCTGTTCCCATCCCCCAATTCCCCAATAAAAATCTTTTAAAAATAAATAAATAAGGGCCGGCCGAGTGGCTCAGTTGGTTAAGAGCTCGCTCAAGAGTTT